TATATATACAGTATAAGTAATTCTAAATTGTCCCTAGGTATGATGAAGAATCTAAATGGCTATTTGTCTCTAATTCCCAATGACTGCTGAACAATTCAGTTTTTCACAAAGCTGTGCAGAAAAACTAACATCTGGAAATATGACATCATAAACTACCAATGGCCAGTGGTGATCATGAACACCCCCTATAACCACTGGGTTTGTCTGTGTGTGTTTTCATAGCCAATGAGAGATTAAAAAAACTAACAGTGTTAACAAGAGTTAAAATAATTGTCCCCTTTAAGCATCAGCCACATTAATGCAATACACATTAATGTGCCCAGCACTTATTATTAAATTAATGTTTGTGTTGTGTTCAGAGACTAATTTTGTCAGGGCTTGCACTTTACCTTTTGGCACTCCACTGTTCAGATGGGCCGGTGTTTATGTTTGTCTGTACCAGTTTGAGAAAGTGGGACATTTTAGTCCAGAGCAGAGGTTCAGCTGGAAGGCCACGTTTCGCCTGGATCGAGTGGATTTTTCCCATCTCAGCTGCGATCAATCTGCGTAGAGAAAACATTTTCTCAGATGGCTGAGGCCAAAGATGTTATTGCACAAACTGCCACTATCAGAGCAGAAACACAACTCCCTTTCCATTTAGCGTGTTCTTCATTTAAAAAGAATAATGGTCCTCCCTGCATGTGTGACCTTTTAACCAAAAGGTTCATCTATTTATTTATTTTTTTGTTCTTGTAACACCTTAGTGACATGAAATGTTGTGGGTCTTTGCTACTGGTCGTATGAGACAGAGAGGAGTAATTAATGCCTGTTGTGGCCCAGGCTGCTCAGCCTTGACCGGCTGTCCTGTGCTGTGAGTTACAACACCAACCTGTTACATATATGATGACCGACACCGCGGGTGTGAACAAACAATATTGGTTAACATGACAAAAGACTCAGCTGAAATAATAATAAAAAAACACCTTCATCAGCACAAACAAAATGAAATGTTCAAATAAAACATCCTTTTGATCTCCGACAACAAACACAAGACGTTTTCTTTTAACATAATAAACTGCTCCTAAACCTGAAGCTCCTTATTATCAAGTTTTTTTATTGTACTTTCATTTTTTATCATTTATTTTGACATAGCTTTAAATAATCTAAACAATATTATAAAATAATTTAGTTTAATGTAATTGCACATCAAACAATGTTTTCATTAATCTGTTCTTATGAAGAAAATATCTAAAATATAATAAAAAGTATACAGTAGTATTTATTAATGGCAACTTTTTGTTAAAATAATGCAGGGCAATTTAGAGTTACCAATAAGCCTAGTGTGCCTGCTTTTGATTTGTAGGAAGAAGCTGGAGTACCTGGAATAAATCCACACATGCACAGAAAAAATCATGCAAGCTTTACCCAGAAAGGTCCCCGGCTGAGATTAGATCTGGCAACCTACTTATTAAGAGGCAATAGCTCAACTTAGCCGCTCATTTGAATACAGATATAACTAAACGGAAGTTAGAAAATATTTAGATAAGACAGAAAATATTGATTTCTGTTTTTTCTTTACTTGGTCATGAATGTTGTCAACATTAACGTATTTCAGGCCTGCCATACATTTTCAAAATATCAGGAGATGGTCAGCTTAGTAACAAGAAAATATTGCTGATATTTCTCAAAAGGTGGTCTACACTAAGATGAACATCAATAACTTCCATTTATTTGATCAATAAGGGCCGGAGAAAACTAATAAAATCTTTGTCAAGCACAAGTTAATAAACATATTTGATCTGGCTTTGTAAACCTCTAGAGAAAGTGTCTGAATAAACTAGGAATCTACAGTATATTATAATCACCAGTACAAGGTGAGTCAAAAGTCACATGACACCCTTTTCTTACATCTAAATACCCCAGCAAATAACATATGAGGAGGGGTGGCTATCATTGGAAAAGCTCGCCCTTAATCCACTATGGCGGCTTTCAGGATGGTGGCCATGTTCTGGATATGTTCATAATAACAAATTCAGATGTGCCATTTTCCCCTTTTTCTGAAATGTGCGTGTCCTGTGACTTTTGACTCAAGGACACTAAAATCGTCTATGTGAAAGAAGTAAATTTAAAAAATCTACTGGAAGCCACATACTGCAATGCCAATAATTAGATTGAGTATAACATATGAGTTATTTTGTCTGAGGCATTATAGTGTGGTTGGACCTTTAAAGAGTCTGAAAGGAGAAAACTTGTACTCTGTGGTTGTCTTAACAAGATAGGTCACAAAGATTTCAGCAGGACATCAAAGGTTTGCATCATTTGGTAAAAAAAAAAAGATGTCTCTTGTGGCATATGACAGAATTCTAGCATCATAAAATACTTATGTACTTATGACTTCCTGTTTTGTGAATGCCGTTAAGGCATTTTCTGCTACTTTGTACTATTTATGCTTCTTACAGTTGCTTTCTGCTATATTCAGCTATTTTCTACAAATTTGCTAACTTTAGCCGTTTTCTGCTATTTCAGCTTATAGTTCTGCTTATTTCTGCTATTCTTATGCTTTTTCTGCTTTGTTTTACTTTTTCTGCTAATTTGTGCTATTTATGCTTCTTACTGTTGCTTTCTTCTATATTCAGCTATTTGCTAACTACTTTTTTGCTAACTTTAGCTGTTTTCTGCTATTTCAACTATAGTTCTGCTTCTTTTTGCTATTCTTGTGCTTTATTCTGCTTTATTTGTGCTTTGTTCTGCTACTTTGTACTATTTATGCTTCTTACAGTTGCTTTCTGCTATATTCAGCTATTTTCTACAAATTTAGCTAAATTTTAGCTTTTTTCTGCTATTTCAGCTATAGTTCTGCCTATTTCTGCTATTATGCTTTTTTCTGCTTTGTTTTACTTTTTCTGCAAATTTGTGTTATTTATGTTTCTTACTGTTGCTTTCTTCTACATTCAGCTATTTGCTAACTACGTTTTTGCTAACTTTAGCTGTTTACTGCTATTTCAGCTATAGTTCTGCTTCTTTCTGCTATTCTTATGCTTTTTTCTGCTTTGTTATACTTTTTCTGCTAATTTGTGCTAATTACGCTTCTTACAGTTGCTTTCTGCTATATTCAGCTATTTTCTACAAATTTAGCTAAATTTTAGCTGTTTTTTGCTATTTCAGCTATAGTTCTGCCTATTTCTGCTATTCTTATGCTTTTTCTGCTTTGTTTTACTTTTTTCTGCTAATAGTATGTTCTATTCATGCTTTCTACAGTTGCATTCTGCAATATTCATCTATTTGCTGCAATTGTAACTAAAGTTTAGCTGATATTAGCTAAAATTACTTCAAATTACTTGATTTTGGCCAATTTTTGATATGTTGAGCTAAAAATGAAAATATTGGTAGCTGAAACTTAGCTCTATTATAAATTGCAGCCGAAATAAAAATCCAAGATGGCCACCAAAGCTATTTTTAAAGGTCTTTTACTCAGCCACTGTTTGTGATATTGACATGAAGACTTATGTACTGGTAGCTGAGAGCATGCTCTATAACATATTGAAGCATCAAGAAACTTTAACATTTGTGGCCACAGTTATTTTGGCTACTTTTTTCCCATTGGAAATGAACGGAGCTTTATTCAACATCCTTCAAATTCTTCATAGTATTTCTAAAT